TTATTTATTTGAGAGAGAGAATGAGATAGAGAGAGCATGAGAGGGGGGAGGGTCAGAGGGAGAAGCAGACTCCCTGCTGAGCAGGGAGCCCGTTGCGGGACTCGATCCCGGGACTCCAGGATCATGACCTGAGCCGAAGGCAGTTGCTTAACCAACTGAGCCACCCAGGCGCCCTGATATCTTTTTTAATTAAGAAGGTATAGATGATTTTAAAAAAGAATTTAAGCAGCATAAAATTGAAAGGAAAACTAAAAGTCCCCATTTCTCTAGTTCACCATTTAACAGCTTTTTCTGTATCCTTATGGAAGTTTTCTCTGTATGTAATATATACTATACTGCAACTAATTTCCCTTGCCTCCATTTATAGTATATATTGGACCTCTTTCCAACATCAGCATGCACAAAGCAACTTCAGTCCTTCAGATGACTACATTATACCTCATTTTATGGCCATGGCTTCATATATTTAACCTATTGATAGACTAATCTTAAGTTGTTAGCAGTTTTTTAGTATTAGAAAAAATGCTGCAGTCAGTGGCATCGCCTTATATCTTTCCACATTGTGGAAATATATTTGTAGGATAAATTCCCAGGAGTTGGAACTACTGAGACAAAGAGTACCCCTATTTTACATTTTAATAGCTATTACCATGTTGCTCTCTAAAGGGTAGAACCAATTTACACTCCCACCAACAATGTTTGAGAATGCCCATTTCTCTCTACCCTCACCAACTCTGGGTATTTTTTTTATTAGCAAACTTCCTAGTCAATGTCAGTTTGAAAGGTGGAAGAGATTACTATGTTATTGTTTTATTTTGTATCAATTATAAGTGAGCTTGAGTATCTTTTTATGTGTATTTTGGTTATTTGTATTTAATTTCTGTGAACCATTTTGTCACCTTTGCCCATTTTCCTTTTAGGTTGTAGGTTTCAAATTGATTTAAGGGCTTTCCAATATTAAGAAAACTGGGGCTTTGTCTTACATGTTAGAGCTATTTTTGTCTGGTTTACTGCTTTCAGCTTGCTTTGGTCTTTTTCCCTCTTCCTTTTTTTTCCATGGAGAAGGTGAAGTTTTTACATGGTCAGATTTATCATATTGCCCTTGTGACCTCTGGATTTTTGTCATTCTTAGGAAGGTCTTCCACATTCCAGATATTGAAAAAGCATTCATCCATATTCTTTTTTGCTCTACTTTAATAGGGTTAAGCACACACACGTTAGGTATGTATATAAATACGTACGTTCATATGTGTATTAGTGTGGGGTTTTTTTTCTGAAAAGTGCCTGCATTTTTATTACAAATGTCAGAAGATTTTAAATATTTGTACCATCTCCAGTCTATTTTGGTGAAAGGAGGAGTCAGGTGAGGAATCCAAGTTTATTTTTCAAGCACATAGACAGCTGACTCTGTACCAGTTACTGAATAATTTGTCTTTCCCCAGATGTGAGAACACTCCTGAGACGAAGCTAAATTCCATTACCATAAAAAGGCTTGAATGTTTGCATGTGTGGGCCCTACATGTGCTGTAGGAGCTTGACATTCACATAGGCCCAGAGACCCCTGCTGATTTCCACAGTTTCATTAACAGATTAATGAGTACACCAACACACGGGGCGACACAAATCAGCTGTGCCCACTAATGAGTTTCCTGTGCATATCTGTCACATGTACTCCTCTTCCTGGATTGTGTCTAGACAGGTGACTGCTGCAGAGTGACTATTGGGCTGGAGGCACTGGGTGGTAAGTTCTTACTGGTGACTTGAAAGATGCACTGTAAGTCTATGTAGACAAGTGCTGACTTATACCTGTAAATACCACGTGGTCCCACTTTCCCATGGCACTCTGACTTCCCATATTTTGGTCTGTAGCCTTCATAAATATCTTCACACTTGTCAAGTTGTGCCTCTGAGTTTTGGTTCATAAGATAAGGTTGTAGGTGCTGAGGGTCACATTGAGCTGCGAGGTGTTGCTGTGATGTGTTTAGAATCAGCACCATGGCAGAAGACATCAAGACCAAAATCAAGAACTACCAGACTGCCCCTTTTGACAGCCACATCCCCAACCAGAACCAGACCAGGAACTGCTGGCAGAACTACCTGGACTTCCACCGCTGTGAGAAGGCAATGACTGCTAAAGGGGGTGATGTCTCTGTGTGCGAATGTTACCGTCGTGTGTACAAGTCCCTCTGCCCCATATCCTGGGTGTCAGCCTGGGACGACCGGCGGGCAGAAGGCACATTTCCTGGGAAGATCTGAACTGGCTTTACCCACCTCTCCTCTGTCCTCCCTCCTTCTCCCAGGGAGGTGAAGGGGGACCTGGGTGCATGGTGATCCCCACCCTGGGATTCTGAATCATGGCTTAACTAATAATAAATACTCATTGGAAAAGTGGAAAAAAAAAAAAAGATAGGGTTGTAGGATAAATCTTTATTTTACTTATGTTTTTCTTCAACCATGATCATTTTACGCTTCTCATTTCAGTTGTTTTATGAACTTCTGGAAGATTATTTTGGGTGGAAATTTTAAAACCAGCTCATCATTTTTTTTAAAGATTTTATTTTTAAGTAATCTTTACACCCAACATGGGGCTCGAATTCATAACCCCAAGATCAAGAGTCACACATTCTACCAGTTGAGCCAGCCAGGTGCCCCCAGTTCATCATTTTAAATTTGGCATAGTATGACCATTTAAAGCAAAATTACAAATTATATAAGTTGTAAATTCTTTCTTTTTTTTAAGATTTTATTTATTTATTTATTTGACAGAGAGAGACACAGTGAGAGAGGGAACACAAGTAGGGGGAGTAGGAGAGGGAGAAGCAGGCTCCCTTCTGAGCAGAGAGCCCGATGTGGGGCTCAATCCCAGGACCCTGGGATCATGACCTGAGCTGAAGGCAGACACTTAACCGACTGAGCCACCCAGGCACCCATAAGTCATAAATTCTTACAGTATAGAAAATCAATATAGCTGATTACTGGAGAAATACCTGTAGAAGATACCCTTCATGTCCAAACAGCAAAGACAGTGTCCTTAAGAATAGTTGGGTGAGAACCCCTTTTTGCTTTGGAGAAAAGTCTAAATTATAAAATATTTGGAAATCATAAATTATTTGGAAAAAATGAAATTTCATTTTCTTAAACTGTAGTGTGTGTAAAAGATAAGTGGTTGCTTATAAGTAAAACTAGGTGGGTTAATGAAAAATTGTATCTCACAATAGTATACAGTCTAAAAGTTATTTAACAGGTAAGAGTTAATTATGCATCCTAGAATTTGAGACTATTTGAAGAGAGTTTTAATTTATTAAAATTTTGGTTTGCAGTATCATCCATGCACAAAGTCCAGATCCTTTTTAGTCTTATGAGAACAGCTGCTTATTAGTAGTCTTGTTTTTTTGCATGCGAATTAAGAAGTTCAAGTCCTTTATTCAAGAACCAGACTAGTTGTTCCTTGAGGGCACTAGACAATACTGCTCATTCTTGAGTCTCTAGAAACCCTATCATAGTACCTGGCACATAGTAGACACTCAGTATGTTTCTGGAATGCATGGATAGTTGAAGGAATGAAGGACAAGCCTTCTCTATCTCATCCATCAGAAAATCCCATTAGCTCTGGCATTAAAATATATCCAGCATATGATGACTGCTCAGAATCTCAGCTTGGTTTAGGCCACCATCACCTCTCACCTGGTCTATGATGGTGGTCTCCTAACTGGTCTCCCTGTTTCTGCTTTCGCCTCCACACAGCCTGTTCTGCACACAGCAGCCAAAGTGATCCTTTAGAAGTGAGATCACAATACTCAGCACCCTCCAGTGGTTTCCATCTTACTCAGGAGTAAGAGCCAAGTCCTTAAAATGTCCTACAAGGTCCTGCATTTTTCTCATCTGCCCCCAACTCTGCAACAGAGCGGCTTCTCTGAACTCTTCTCTTTCTTTCCCACCGCTCATGCTGTGGTAGCTACTCTGCCTTTCTTTCAGTGTCTTGAACATGCCAGGTATTCTACTTCAAGGACTTTGTATTAGCTGTTCCTTCTGCCTGGAACACCTTTCCCCAGATACCTGTGCAGCCCATCACCTCATCCCTTCAGTCTAGAGTGTAAGCTCCAAGGGGGCAATGCTTTTATAGTGGGCATTTTCATATTTGTTGGAGAGAGGAAGGGAACAAAGAAGTGAAGAAGGAATCAGGAGGCAGGGGCATGGAGCACAATTAAAAATCATGGCCGAGAAGATTTGGCCATAGAAACTGGGACTGTGGGGCGCCTGGGTGGCTCAGTTGGTTAAGCGACTGCCTTCAGCTCAGGTTATGATCCCAGGGTCCTAGGATCGAGTCCCACATCGGGCTCCCGGCTCAGCAGAAAGCCTGCTTCTCCCTCTCCCACTCCCCCTGCTTGTGTTCCCTCTCTCGTTGTGTCTCTGTCTGTCAAAAAATAAATAAAATCTTAAAAAAAAAAAAAAATACAGACTAGATTTGGTAAAGAACCACCTCCCCCGCCCCAGTCCCCAAATAGAGATTTAAACTCTGGGCTTACATTGCTGGGCTAAGTGTGATTATGAGCTAATGTTTTTATAGTTTATGCCAACATTTCAAAAATCTTTTTCAGGTTCTCATATTTCCTCTAGGATTTGCCACATGTTAGCAATAAAGAAGATGGCTAATTGTGTTTCTTTATTCTTTCTTTGTTTAGGATGTGATAGGCCAGGTTCTGCCTGAAGCAACAACCACAGCATTTGAATGTAAGTCTGGCTTGTATACTTTCTTGACTATTCCTTTCTGCAGTAATTTTTCAAAGGGTTTATGGGTTGCATTACTTTAGAAACTGACAAATACAGATTATTTATGATCATCATATGGTACATTTAAATATTTATAAATTAATGCAAGTTTAATGATGATACTGAACTGAGTAATATTTTCTTATTTAATCATATCTTGGGTGTGCATATTTCTATAATATAGCTTTAATTACCAACATGACCTTTATCTGCTCTTGCTCCTCAGTGTAATACTATTGTGGGACAAAATGAAACGTGTAAACTACCTGTAGGCCAGTGATTATTGATTAAGAAATTGTAATCCATTGCTGCTTTAAAACAGCAACAGACTAGAACTTTAAGTGAGCATTGCATGGAATAATTCTGTTTTAGTGGGGCTTGGTGTGGCTGGTACATGATGACAGTAGCCCTTCAGGTCTTGAGTCCTTCCTCCTTCCCTCCCCTCCCCCCCCACCCCCGCAGTTGGCTTGGGGATTGGGAGGGGCAGGATGGACTAGAAAACTAGTTTTGACATGAGCCAGGTCATTGCAGGGGATGTTAGGGTTTGGGAATGTTAAGATGAGGGTTTAGTTCATAGAAAGGGGCTCTGGTGTTGAGAAGGATAGAGTAGGATTTTTAGTTGTGGTTCCTGTCTTTTCTTTTGAAGGTGAGGGCCATTTTTCCCTGAGAAAATGTACGGTTTCTCCACATTATAGTTTATTTGTTGTTCTTGGTTTTTAAGCAGATGGTTAATGACAGTGAGCACAGTGTCCTCTCTTTTATTTATGTTCTCTTTGGAGGACAATTTGACAATATATTACCAGTATTATTACCAGAATATAAAATGTGCAAAACCTTTGATTCAGCAGCTTCACATTTAGGAAGCTTTTCAACAGAGATACCTGCCCATGTGTTGAATGCCCTTCAAACAAAATATTCATTGTGGAATTATTTTTAATCGGAGAAAATTAGAGGAAAGCTAAATGCCTAGAATAGTGGATTCATAAGTTATCCATTATCTGAAGCAGCAACCAATTGAACAGCAGCTAAAAAGAATGAGTAAGGATTTTATGCATTGGCATGGGAATAGATTTCCATGATACATTGTTGAATAAACAAATAGTATGTATGGTATGACCCCATTTTGTAACATAGCTAATCCCTGTGCCTCCCTGCTTCGTGTCTATATTGAGAGACAAGGATCTGAAGAGTGCCCACCACAGTGCCTTGCAGTGGTTCCCCCTGGAAAGTGGACTTTAGGGTTAGAATGGGGCATGGTTGGCTAAATGAGCACACTTTTTCCTTTCTCTCTTTCTCTATTATTTGAATATTTTCGACAATCATTCCATATATTTAAAAGTCACTTGCATAGAACTCTTAAAATAATTAGTATTTTATTAACCACATTGGAGTCTATATACTGTTGAAAAATGGTACATGTATCTGAAGTACATATTAGTGTTGCAAGCTCTTCAGACCCTTTTTGGGAAGTCCCTGGTGGCACCAAGAGTTTCATGGACAGGCCGATAGTAAACATCTGTCACTGTTGCCAGGTGCTGTGCTAAGAACATTCCATGGTTATCTCATTTAATTTAACCTTCGCAAGATCCCCTTGAAGTACTTCAAAGGATTGTTTTGTTTTTGTTTTTATTTTTTTTTAATTAAATTAAATTTTATTGAAATTCAATTAATTAACATATAGTGTCTTATTAGTTTCAGAGGTAGAGGTCAGTGATTCATCAGTTGTATATAACACCCAGTGCTCATTCTATCACATGCCCTCCTTAATGCCAATGACCCGGTTACCCCATCCCCTCACCCCCCTCCCCTCCAGCAACCCTCAGTCTGTTTCCTATGATTAAGTGTCTCTTATGGTTATTAGCTCCATTTTAGTTGAGGAAAGGACATCTCCTCTGAGCAGCTTGCTCAAAGTCTAGTGAGTGGTGAAGTGGATTTTCTCATGTAGACTCCAGAGCATGTATACATTCTCAGCCACTTTGACACTGTTCTGCAAGTTGTATTCATTCTTGAAGTCACTTATTCTGATTGTTCATAAATGTAGCAGAAAAGAAGCTTACTTTATACATCCTACTTCTTGCCCTCTGGGTCCCACAAAGTGGCTTGATGTACCTGTGCCCCACTGGCTTCCAGAGTTAGGATTCATAGTAATAACATCGATTATTCTAGCTGTCATTTATTGATGGCTTGCTCTTTGCCTGGCAGCAGACTCGATGATTTACCTAGATTGTTGCTGATCCTTACAAAAACTCTGTGAGGTAGGAAAATTATACCTTTGGGAAACTGAGGCTCAGAAACAGGAAATGATTACCAAAGTCATCAATGTGGTGGAACCAGATTTAAACATAGTTGTTTTTGACTGTGAAACATGCACTCTTTATAACCAAGTATGTTAAAAGCCTATGAAGTTTGTTAAGTATGGTTTTCATGGCTTATGGAACAGCTCTTGAATAAATAACACTTTAATCAAAGAAATATTTATGGTAATATATTTAATACTGAAAAGTATATCTAACACTAAGAGAAAAAATGTTTAAATACCTTGGTTTAAGTTCTCAGAAATGTTGTTCCTTCTTTACCGAGAAGAGGGTAGCAGCTCTATACCCATCTGTGTCTTGACCAGTTCTAGGCAAAACCAAAACCAAAAATAAAACCCCAAAACATAGACAAAATAGTAATAGTCTTTGTTTCTTTAGCTTAGATTAAAATCCTAGCCTGGCTTTTTTCATGATTGTTCTAGGATGACTTTGTGTTCTGACCCAAAGATCTGAACTAATAAATGGAATCTATGTAGAGGAAATATTTGGAAAGGTGTAGTTTGTAAGCTAATTTGCTGACATTTTTGAGCTATTTCAGTAGTGTATAGCCATGATGGAACAACTCCCAGTTAAAACTTTGAACAAAGATGTATTTATGGTAATATATTTAATATTGAAAAGTATATGTAACATGAGTTGATTTTTTTTTGCAAAAGAGATGGTATTGTATTTAGTGATATGAATTAAGCAACAAGAGAAAGGGTGTTGTCAAATTTATCAAGGAAATGAGTTGATAAGTGGAAAGGAGGGGAAAGGTAATGGTACAGATTCTGCAGTTCTGAGAAGTGCTGTCTATTGGCTGAGGCCTCTGACACCAC